AAGGAGAGTGCAGCATAAAAAACTAGTAAGTTAGTTGACATGCTAGCAGACCAGACACTGAATTGTCCATTCCTGAAAGATTTATTCTTGTGATTTTAGTCTTTGAGAGGAAAATCCTAGTTGTTAAAAGTCATTTTTAAAAACTAGGATTTGTCAATAGTTTGTTTTTTTGTAAGGTTTCAACATTACCCTGAGAAATTTCATCAAGCATCTCTGGGTCACTGTCCCATTTTCTTTTTGCAATCGCAGACCCGTCCCAGCTGTTACTTTCTTTATACAGGCCATGCTGAGCTGCAGCTGCGTGAACCTTACCTTCTGTAACCTGCAGAGCCGCTGCCAGCCAGCACAGCAGCATGGTAAGACACCATCTAAGAAGACACATCAGACACATAATGAAAGTTGCATTTGGAGAAATTCTGCATAGTTAAAACACACTGCAAAAAAGTTCATGACATCGATTTAAAATTCCAGCTGAAATGTAATAGCAGAAATCTAGCAGTGTATAGAAGAAATGAACAGGTCTGCTCTGAGAAATGCTTTTATAATTTCAATAATAATAATAATAATAAAAATGCAGAAAATGTTGAGGTAAGATATAAATAACAGCTTCTTACCGCTGAGACATTTCAGTAAATACGCAAATCCAGCTTTGGAAGTAAACTCCAAGTACATGTGTGAGGCAAACTTTGTGGTCCCTCTGCCTGACTGTGCAGACCTGAAGTCACAGTGCTGCTCTCTCTCCCTCCCTCTCTCCCTCTCTCTCTCTCAGCACAAAGACTCCCTCAGTTCTGTCTCTGACTCTTAGGACCCACACAGTTGGGAAATTTGACTCGCTTGAAGGAAAAAAACGTACTCTTTAGACCTTCTTTGTTAACCTGCTGGTTGAGACAATTTCCTTTGATTGATAATAACGTGATGGGCTGTTATTTAAAGTTAAACGCATCTACCAGTGAATCGACTTTCTATGTACAATACTGTTTAGAGTGCTTTCATTCATTGTACCTGCAGGGATATATTTGTATCATTGAAGTGAAAGAAATCCTGTAATGCTTCCTAATGAAAGAGTGACACAATGACGAAGTCAAAGAACATGGCCGGAGCTTCCTGGTTGTCCTGGGTCAAAGATTTGTTGTTGGTCACCCAGTGATCCTCACTTCCCCCATCCCCTGTTTCATTCTGTACACACTCACCCTGAGAGATCACTTTACTGCCTTTCTCCTATAAAGTAACTTTGTACTGACCTGTGTGTCAGATATAGTTGATGGTAATTCAATAAACACCTACAATATAACAACCAAGGCTTTTCTGTGATACGGGAAGTTTTGGTGCCACCTCAGAGGAAAATGACGATACTAATAATGTGTGTACACTAGCCTCTCCATGGTTCATGGAGAGGCTTCATCATCCAATCAAATAGTTTAATTAAAATGAAAAAAGAACAGGATTCTGCTTAACAATGAGCAGATGTTTGCACCTCTAAAAAGGTACCAATTATGAGATTAACGTGTGCAGCCTTAGGCTAAATGAGACAAAGCCTAATTTCTAAGAAATTATAAAACAAAGAACATGTTTAATGTTTAAATAAAGAAGACAGAGGATTTAACCACAGAATTGATATATTAAAAAAGAACAAATCAATATTCGATCAAGTGCAGTAGTTTAAAATAGCAGAGCTTGACCGTTTTAATCTCCTCTTAGACATTCTTCCTCAAGCTAGCAGAATGAAAGGATAACAGGTCAACAAGGTCAAAGGGAATCTGTGGAATAATCATGTCATGATGTTAACACTCCGGCATCACCAGATTCTGGAAGGATCTCTTCTTACTGCCTTTCAAGTTTAATAAAGGCCGGTAATGTTTGGGTTAAATTATTCATTTGAGATGGTTGGGTGGGTCCAGGTTGTACAAATTAGCATGTAGTAAAGGTCATACATTTCTTGTATCAGATGTGCATTTTTTAAACTAATTTTTCCACTCTCAGAAGGTGTCACTCTGCTGTACAATCACAACACACGTTTTCATTCTTTTTCTCAGAGTTTGAATGGCACACAGAGGGCTCTGTCACTTGAATGTAAATCCATATGGGCTTTCGATTGCTTTCCACAAGTATCTGAGAGAAATGTCAAGTTTAATATCGGCGAAAAGGTCTGTTATGTCTTCTAGCTATTTGCTAGCCTTTCCTATCGGATGGCACTGGGCAGGAAGTATATCATGCGTTTTAAGAACTTTTTTCTCCTGAAAACAATAGCTCGCTGAGGCAGAAAACGATGCTTAGAAGTGCAGTGAGACAGCTGTAGGAGGGGGTCAATTTTCAATGTTCACTCAACTTGTACAAAAGCTTAATAAACAATGTCTATGCTGAGCAACAGATAGGTGGCATTTCATCTCATTTTACACAAACAGACACTATTATTAAGTGCCAAAATCAGTATTTGACGTAATATCAGTGAAATATGAATGCACCTTGTTACTCATGCTAGCTAGCAGTAGCATTAGCTGATGACTCAGCAGCTTTTCCTTTTATATTGATTCCCTCAGTTCCAGAAAACCAGCAGGGTGATAACCAAAGACTATTTTTTATCACCAGCTTAAGTCTCTTTTCAGGTACCTTGCAGCTGCCTGGGGTATACTCTACCTCTCATTCAGTCACAGTTGGAATAGACTCTAGCCCAACAGCAGTCCTGATATGGATAAACAGAAGAAAATGATGGAACGAAGTCTAATTTTTCATTTATTATATGTCTCATATGTGGGTTCATTACTGTAGACTGCAGTCCATGTAATCTTAACGAAAAAACGAGATGCTGAAAGTCCAAGATTTGCAAAAATAGAATCCTCTGTGAACCCATCGTTTACCCATTTTAGTATTTCATGAGCTTTGGGGATTGTTTCACACACTGACACTTGAGGTCATCGTGGTTTTATGTGGATTGTGGCCAGCAGACAAGACTCTCATTGGGGCAACAATAAAGTGTCAAATTAGGTTAACGGTTCTGAAGGGACAGCCTGCACTTTAAAAGGAGCAAGGGTTATGGACAGCAGACTGCGTAACAGAGTTGTAATTCAGATGGTGATCAGAGCATCAGACTGGGCAGGTCGTTATTGTTGCTCTGTGCGTGCTGACCCAGCTAACCACTCTCTGGGAAAAACAGGAAGCCATTTATCCAGGGCCAAGTTTCCCAACAGCCTTCTTACAGCAGCTCCAAGATGGGCTCTGTTGTTTTGTGAGCCACTGATGATTTTAGAACTAAATTAATTTTTGGAAACTGAGCCTGAGAGGCTTACGTAAGAGACTCTCAGTACTACTCTCCTCTGGGTCAGACAAGAACTCAATACATCTGGCCAGAGAATATCACCTTGGTCACCACTCAGTTTTTTTTAAACTATATATTTATTGTTTTTTTTTTCTTCATTTAAACATGAAGTAACACAGACAGGGTCGACGTAAATAAGAAAATATATTAGAAAAAAAAGTTATATCATCGGGGAGAAAATTTTGATATTTGGTTGCCAATTCAGAGTTATATATACACAAAAAGAATATCTTATTAATACAAATGTTATAAAGAAATAACACAGGAGTCTACAGTCATTTCTCTGTGAAAGCATTTCCATTTCTCCCAATATTGTTCATATTTTTCTGAAAATAGTCTCAAAGAGAAGGTTAGTCGTTCCATAGTGTGAATTTCATGTATTATTTCTGTCCAGTCCGAAACATTTGGTGCTTCCTCATTCAGCCATTTGCGTGTAATAGCTTTCTTGCTGGTAGCCAGTATCTGTAGCCGGTATCTATCCTGTTTCTTTAGTCTATTTGGTATATTGCCTAAATAAAAAACACAGAAACTCCCTTCAAGCTGGGACCCAATTATCTGTTTAGTGTGTGCAATCACAGCTGACCAGTAGGGAGAGATTTTAGGACATTCCCAAAAGATATGGAAGTGGCCTGCTGAAGTCTATCCACATCTCCTCCAATATTTCCCTTGGTCAACATTTTTGCTTTGGTGTTCTTTAATCTTAGGTGTAATAAAAAACCTCATAGTGTTCTTCCAAGTGAATTCTCTCCATAGTTCGGAGCTGGAAGTAGTGGCTATAGTTTTACATATATTAGACCAATCTTCTTCTTCAGCTCTATTCCGGCCTCTTTCTTCCATCTAAATTCAATGTACGTGGTAGACAATTTCCTTTCTGTTTGTAGTGTTGAGTATATCATAGACATTTTTTTTTTTAGCACTTTCCCTTTACATATGTTTATAAAGATTTGGACTAAAGACCACCACTCAGTTTGATACAATAATATAAAACTTTGAAGAGGATAAAATATTTACTGTTGGCACGCATTTCAAGTGTTTTGTAACAAAAGGCAGAAATTGAGAGGAGTAGAATGTCATCAGAGACATCACAATGGTCTATATCTGGCTGACTACTACTTTAGTTTCGTTTCCTTTACATACCGTCTTCCTGCTTCCTGCCCTTTGTCTCTGTGTGTTTATAGATATGTTTTATGTGATTGTTATGGGAGGTTCCTTCCAAGTCTTTACAAACACTTCACATTGAGGATAAGCTCATTTTGAGGGTCACAAGCAGTCTAAGCAGAGATTTCAAGTCTTCCCTCCTCCCTCTCGCTAGCCGCTGTCCCCAGGTCCCTACCGAGGCATTCCAGGGCCAGCCGAGCGGCATAATCCCTCCAGTCTGTCTTAGGTTTGGGGTTTCCTGTCAGTAGGATATGTACAAAACACCTCAGCTTTGGAGGCATCAAGAAACCAACCATCTCAATCGGTTCCTTTCACCACAGAGGTGCACAGGCTATTTGACATTTACTGTAGACACAAATTAATTATTGTTGTTTTGCTGTCACACATCATTTTGTCCAGGTCCATATCCATTGTTGTGCCTTGTTTTTCCCCCCCTTTATAGTGTACTGGTACCTTAATGCTTATTACCTTTACCAAAGAAAATTAGCACAGAACATATTGCCATAAATAATCAGACATGACAACTTCATTATTATACAGACTTTAAGTTATATTTGTTTTTTGCTAAATAACATCCTAAAAAGAGATGAATCAGTACTAACCTATGATGAAAACAACAACAACAACACTACTATAGAGACTCCATATTGCATCCTTTGCCACTAGCTGTAGTGGCGTCTAAGGAAAGAGCTCACAGACTAACATTATGACAACATACAAAAACTCAGTCAAACTCATCAATAATTAAAATGTCCTGAAACGTTGAAACCAGCAAATCATCTGTATCATTTTCACTCTATTACATCTTCATTATGCTTGGCACATTCCCATCTGTGGCAACAAAAACAGTAATGGCCTAGTGTGTTACGAGCAGCATACGTTTGTTCATGGTCATCAACACATTATTCCACATTTGATATTCTTTCACAATATTGGCTAAAAAACATGTTCAACTCATTTAATCATCCCAAAGTAAAACATTTGTTACAATGAAGTGTCACAACTGGCACGGAAATAAATAATAAAGATCACAAAGGAAATATCATTGAATGTTATTGCCAAACGCAAAAGTATTCCTATAAAAGTCATTGCTGTGATCTTTAGGGTACTCTGTAAAAGGACAGTTTCCACTATATCTGCATGTCTCAGTGAAACCAACGATTGCACTAAAGGCAACAAAAACAAGCTGCAGTTCATGTTTTTTCATCTGGAGGAGTTGGAGTGGTGGAGCCCCTAGTGGTCTGTCTGTAGTCAATCCTCTTCACTTCCAGACTCTGCACTAAGCTGAGGCTGTGCTGTATGCAGAGTCCCTTGTTGTCCAAATGTGGCACTCTTCTCTTCATCAGTCATCCAGGTTATTGTAATCTAAGGAGGTTGGAAATACTGGACTTCTTAAAAAACAAAGTCTGTTGTCACTGTCCCACCTTAAAGCCTTTGTGTCCAAACATGGTTTGTTTAAAGTACACGTCCAAAAAAATAGGAACCTCTTTGCGCTAGGAGTAGATAGTAATGACCTCCCGACCTCCTCCCCGAACCAACAGTACACGGTCTAGACCTTCCATTAAAACTTCCAGGAACTCCATATCTGAGACACACATTCTGGTTAAGGGGGTTATGCACTACTATTAGACTCAATATGCTTTATTATTTTCTTACCAGGATGAATCAGTAAATGCCACTTCAATATCTTTATTCTAAGTATCGGGTTTTTAGGTCTGATGTCATTAGCAGTTTCCAGGTCCAAACTCCACTTCAGGTCCCAAAGTCAAACGAACAGTGCAGCATCACTGAGAGCTAAAAACTGTCTAAATTCTTTCATCTTTAATAAAATGATCAGCGTTGCTGCTTTACCAGGTGTAGTAATTAATTTTAACATCCAGGCATCCATGAAAACAGAATTTATTAAATTTAATGGAGTTAGAAGTTAGCAGGAAGTTAGCTCGCTAGTTTCCACCCAAACATGATATAGCATGTTCTGAATGAGAGATTTCTGAAAAAATTAAACGTACAGCTCTGCTGTCACTTCCAACATAAATGAAGACAGAAAAACTAAACAGCAGTAATGTTTGTAGGGTTACTGAAGTTGGGCTAGCTGTTTTATAATGTGCTACATTAGCATAATCTAAACACATTATCACAGTGAAGCTGGAGGATGAACGCTAATGTTTTTCCACTTAACAAAAATTAACATGAATGCTCCACAAATGCAATTGCATTTCTTTTAGGGGCTTGTTCAGATTAAATAAAACAAGATACAGAAGCATTAAAACATGTTAAAAACACAATAGCCTTAATAAACGCAAAGTAGTCTGGACCCGGAAGCCGGGTTCATACGTCGTCACTTAAAGACTGGATAGAACTGCTGTTATAGTTGGATAGCTTAGCTTAACTTAGCTTAGAACTGGGGCAAAGAATTAACATTGGTCCAAAATGTAAAAAATAACCCAAAATTCAACCTGGAGTTACGAAGATATGGAAACATTAAGGATTTACTTTGTTTTTTATAAGACTGCTTAGAGTCCTATTAAAACGTTTTCACAACAGCATCTTAGTTTTTATGTTCAGTTTTAGTGTGGTTTAATTAATGACATTAACTGAGTCAATATGCTTTAAAATGCTTCTAGGAGGATTTTTTTAACCTTTGGAAGAAGACACGATTGTTGACTATCTATCCATGCTTAGTTAAGCTAGCTGACTCTAGCATACAAACATGACAGTGCTATTAGGGCTGGGCCATATCATACCGTTCACGGTAATACCGGTATAATGTTGGGCAACGACAAGAAATTGAAATATCGCGATAGAATTTGGGTAAAACGCGTGTGCCTATGTTTTCATACGCATATGGCGGAAAAAGCATGCCGGCGGCGACGGAGAATGAGGAGGGCGAAAGCGGATCGTTGAATGAAGCGGATGAACCAGAAGTGGTTGGTAAAAATGCTGCAGCTTCAGTGGTGTGGAACTGGTTTAGCTTTCGACCGTCAGATACACAACAAAGCACTATTTTTGGTAGCGCATGCTAGCGGGTCATCGTTACTACCGTGTTTTTTGGAAAATACGGCACACTTAAAATCAATCCTTTGATTTTTCTGAAAATCGACAGAGCACCTTATAATCCCGTGTGCCTTATGTATGAACTCTGGTTGTGTTTACTGACCTCGAAACGATTTTATGTGGCGCTCGAAAATCTGTCAAATGTTTTAGGACGATTTTGCTAAGCTACGAACCCGTACCGCTTGATGGATTGTCGGAGCATTACCGCTTTTGCAGGCAGGAGTCTCGCGGAGTGATACGTACTGTGCTTCAACATAATATTACCGTATTGTGTGTGTGTGTCTGGTTGTTCAGTGATGACGTGACGAATCCTACTTCCGGGTCTAAAGTAGTCTGCGTTTAATATGGCTTTTGTGTTGTTAACATGTTTAATGTTTTGTATTTTCTTCTATTTGATCTCAAAAAGCTCCTAAAACAGTCAGTGATCCCTGTTGACCTCCCTCGGCTTTTATTACCGCTAATCATTTATTTAAGCTCAGTCTTTAAAACCTTAGGATGTAACTACAGCCCAGCCCATGCAGCAGTATATGAATGACTAACCTCGTATTGTGGATGGATTATCTCAGTTGTTCTCCTGGCTGAAGTTTGGTCCTTTTACAGCATCCTGCCATGCGATTACATTTGTTCCTGATCGAGAACACTCACAGTAACTTTTATCGAGTGGAAAAAGGTTAGCTTGTTTATATTACGCTAACATAGCTGTGTCGCTAGCGGTCACGTAGCACATCATTATATACCAGCTAGCCCAACTTCAGTAACCCTACAAACGTCACTGCTGTTTAGTTTTCTGTCTTCATTTATGCTGGAAGTGATAGCAGAGCTGTACGTTTTGAATTTGTTTCCAAAACCCCGCAGTCAGGACATGCTATATTGTATTTAGATATAAGCTAGTGAGCTAACTTCCTGCTAACTTCTAACTCCGTTAAATGTCATAAATTCCGTTTTCATGGATGCCTGGATGTTAAACTCAATTGTTACACCTGGTAGAGCAGAACGCTGATCATTTTATTAAAGATGAAAGACTTTAGACAGTTTTTCAACTCTCAGTAATGCCATAGTGATCGTTTGATATATGGACCTGCAGCGGAGTTTAGGTCCAGACACGGCTAGTGACGTCAGACTTAACAACCGGATAACCTCTTTTTAAGTTTTGTGGATATTACACATGGTTATGCTGAGGATATGTTGGCCAGTTTCCACTGGAAATGCCTTTTGGTTAAACTATCAGCAAGGAATTTGCACTGTTACGTTTTTATATAACTTTAATGCACATAAAAAACAGCTGCTTATTTTTGCACTAATAAAGTTGTGGAGTTGTAAAGTATTTTGTCTAGTGTCAATTATATCGTCAGTTATATCATTATCGCAAATTTTCAAATGTATAGCTTGATAAATATTTTTGGTCATATCGCTCTGCTCTAAGTGCTATGACTAATCTCATATTAATAGCAAGAAAGTGGGTGTCTAAATATCAAACAGTTTATCTACTGTGGTTGACTAAATGACTGAACAACTCACAGACTGAAAGAAAAATCCAGTTAAGGGCTTAATACTGCTGGTACTTTGAAAAAGGATACAGTTGTCATCCCCTTTCTTGTTCTTTGGTGGGCCCGGCATGTTCAGCAAGACGAGCTCCGAGTTACAGGATTTCTTCACCACCACCTCGTTCAGTTTCACCGCTGTGTGCATCCTCCGCACATTAGAGTGGTTGCTATGTTTAACCAGAGACATTAACAAGGTCTTTAATTTAACAAAAAATCATGCAACACAGTCAATCATCTTCTAAAGTATGCTATACTATCATTCATCTGTCCACTCAAGTGCAGTATAAAAGATTGGGGATGACAATGAAGGATGCAAATGCAGATGGATGCAGTTTCCTTGTGATAAAAGCACGAGCTTTTTGTCTCATCACGTATGCATGCATGAACTAGTTAATCGCTTTTCTACCAGCATGCCAACAGAGATTATTTCACACGTGAAAAAGTTCAAGCACATGCAGCCAAGAAGTGAAAGTTACTTACAGATTCTCCCACTCACTAGAGGATAGAGGATGGGGGATAGAGGATAGAGGACACACATCCAACATTAATAGCAAAATATAGCCTCTAAATATTCAGAGATTGTATTTAAATCATCACGCTGTCACTCCAGGAATCCCTCCTGCAACATTTTGAGTAAATTTGCAATGCCACTTTCTTGCAATATATATTCTAAATTCTGTTTATGTATGTGTCAAAAGTGTGAGGCAGCATACTTAGCTCTACTTACGGTTTCATGTTGAACATGTCTTTCACTGCCATGTTTTCTTTGTGTTTGTTCCTCTCATTCTGCAGTTTGTCTTTGGTCCAGGTCATGTGGACACGATCAGAAGTGGCGCCAGCAGCCTTGTCATTCGCTGCAGAATGAGATGCTGTGTTCCGGTCGTGAATCAGCTGAGCCTGAACAGACGGTGACAGGATATAAAGTCTTATTAGTTCCGTGATCTTCACCCCTTAATCTTTCATTAGGAGAGCTGATACTGAATACCACAGCTTTTCAGGAAATGGAGACATTCTAATATGGAAAGAAAAAATGATGAGAAGAAATGTCTGACATGATAGCAGTCAAGCGATATGTTTAAGAGCATAAAGTACATGCAGACTCAAAGAATCACATGAATGAAGAAAAGCCTCAGCTTCCCTCATGTGATGGTAACACTTCTATATATGACTAAATTATTAAAAACCTGCAAATTCATATGTGCAAAACCTTCTGCATATTCTTTTGCAGGACTTGTTTTTACATTTTTAAAAGTGGTTCTCTTTGACTCAAGTCTCCACCTGCATCTGGGACCCCATGCAGACACCTTTGGACTAGGCACGCGCTTCCAAACTGCCTCAATGATTCCCATCACCAACAGGGCAGACTCTGACCCTGTGGACCTTTCTGCAGCCTTTGGCACTGATTCTCACACCATTCTTCTCTCTCACCTCTGGCTGGCTTTCTTGGCCTCACTGGTACTGAACTCTCACAGTTTCAGTCCTACTTTTCCAACTGAACACAGCTTGTCACCTTAGGAGACTCTTGCTCCACCTCTATTCCAGTTAACCATGGGGTGCCTCAAGGCTCTGTGCTTGGACCCCTTCTCTTCACCATCTACATGCTCCCTCATGGGCAGTGGTGCCATGGTTTCTGTTTCCATTCTTATGCTGACAACACACAGCTGTCAGTGCTAAACTCTCCACAATCAAAGCTCCTTGACCAAACGTCTGCATGAAATTACAACATGGATTTTAACTACCTAGCTCAAAAGCAATAGCACTGTGCTTTTGCTTGTGGCCATCAAGACCCTGCTCCAGAAGAATGGAGCTCTTCATCGACATGGGTGATCCCCCCCATCTCAGCAACCCCTGGACTCAATTTAATTTCAATTTAATTTATATAGCACGTAATCACAACAACAGTTGTGGCACTTTATAATGTTATAATGTTCTACACTTTTATTCCAGGGTTATTATAAATCTGTCACCAAAGCAGCTTTTCTTCGTCTAATGAACATCTCTTGACTTTGGTCATCGCTCACTGACTCTTTGGCGCTATCTGGCTGCAATGGAGTCCCATTTGGGATCCCCAACATATCACTCCACATAAAGCTCAACTGGCTCCTGGTCACGTCACGCATCATTTACAAGTTGCTTCTGCTCATTTATAAATCCTGTTAATGACCTGGGCCCTCAGTACCTGTCTGGCCACCCATACATGCAGCCTTGGATGATGTGATCCTCAGCCATGGGGCTCTTTTCTGTCCCTCGCACCAACCTCCATATCTTCTTTAAAACTCCCATCCGTTCTTCAAAACTCACCTCTTCTTTAATTTCTAGATTTTTTATTATTGTTTTAATAAAGTGTCGTTGAGTTTCTTGAAAGGTGCTGAACAAATCTATATTGTAGTAGTAAATTGTATCTATAAAGCACTAAATTACAAAAATAGCTGGCCCGAGGTGCTTTATATTGTACGGTAAAATTACAATAAGAGAGAAAAAGAGAAAACCTCAACAATCACTGCTCCTATGTACAAGCGCTTGGCAAGAGACAAGAAACAGGACCGATGTTAAAACAAACAAGCTTCATGCAGAACCCTGGACATGCTCTCTTACCTATAGGTAAAATGTGTCGTTCCAGCTCTCCAGTGCAAAAATGCATGCATGATAGGGGGAAAAAATGATGGTGCATGATGCAAAACTAGTGACATTATTCTTTGTGTCAGACCTGCACATGTATAAGGCAACTGACCGCTCATTGAGAGTTCCACATCTTAAAATCTGAAGATGGGCACAAATCAAAAGATGAAGATTTGGGAGGAAATAGTCATGACTGATATTTTGGTGCCTGCCGCTCAGGGAGGACTTTGTGTCCCCCTAGCGGCTGTTTTTGGTTTCTGACACTCTGTTAGCAACATCCTGGAGGGTGAACAGCCGAAACAAGCTCATGCATACACTTAACAAATGAGTTAATTCAGAGCACTGTCTAAAGCATTCCGGCGGTTATGAATAGATTAGGATGGTAAAGATGATGAATGGGATAGAGCGACGGCTCCAGGGTTGTTTGTTTGGTCTAGTTGCCATGGCTACCTCATCCTCTGGAATGCACTGAGAGTAGAGGGGCGGGGCGTCGGCACTCGAACACTTCTTCCTCTTTATGGAGGCACGCGATACATCCGTGATGCTCTGAATCTGAGCCCATTGTCCATTCACAACGCAGTGATTAGGGGGAAAAGGTCAAAGGTCAAGAACAGCAGAACAGACCGTGAAGACTTTTGCAACACCTTAATATTTAAGCAGTTTTTCCTAAATCCTGTCATTATAAAAATATTAATTATTGTTGATATGTTTGTTTTAACAAATCCATCATATGACCATCATAAAAGTCTTGCAGGAAAACATTAAAATATGCCAAAATAACCAGCTTATACATCGCTTTACAATCAGTTGAAAAACGTTAAGGATGTCCAGTATGTGTCCCTTTACCTCTCTCTCCCTCTCTGTGCGGGACAGCTGCATCTGTTTGAGCATTTGAGATCTCTGCTCCATCACCAGCGTCTTCTCATAGGTGAAAGCTGAGATATCACTGTCATGCTACAGGGAGAGAGAGCATCTGCAAATTCAGTATGAGTAGGTATGGAACTATTATCATATTAAGTAATCTAATGCAGATTTAAAAGTGAATTAAAAGTGTAGACAGTCTCACCATCTCCACTACCTCCACCACTGCATTTAGACGCAGTTGGTAGAGAAACATCTGGAGATCTTTCTTCATCTGAATGGAGTTGTCATCCATCTGTGCCACAGTGAAGATTCGCATTTTGCACTTCCTCCATACCTAAACAGAAAAAGTTATTATAACCAACCACCCAGAGCAACACGCCCATCTTTTATCCAGCTCAATTAATAGGCCACCTGAGTGCAGCACGAAAGATTAAAGACCTGCTTTTATTATTTTATTATGACTGAAGGCCGGCAGGCTCTGCATCAATATTAAACTGTGTGACATTAGAACAGGGGTGGGCAACTCCAGGCCCCGAGGGCCGGTGTCCCTGCAGGTTTTAGATGTGTCCTTGAACCAACACAGCTGATTTAAATGGATAAATTAGCTCCTCAACATGTTCTGAAGTTCTCCAGAGGCCTGGTAACGAACTAATCATGTGATTCAGGTGTGTTGACCCAAGGTGAGATCTAAAACCTTCAGGACACCGGCCCTCGAGGCCTGGGATTGCCCACCCCCCGCATTAGAAGCTGTTAGCAAAAGATCTTGATTTGCAAACAGGTCAACGGCTATTTACTACAAATCTTTGGGGAAAATGTTTAAAGGTTAAAAGAAGAGTAATTTTAATTTTGGTTGAAGTTGATTAAATGTAGTCCCATATGGTAATTGTCAAGTCAGAACCTACGGGACTGAGAAATGCAGCCACCTTCGAGGCGCAGTTCCCCACATGACCACTTGAGGCTGATTCCAAAAGCGACTTGATCATGATCTTTTTAACTCTCATGTTAAAGTGCAAACTTTAGCCTTGTAACTTACATGTTTACAGCCTGGTACCAACATGGTTTTGGTCTCCATGAATAACAAAACACATTCACAACAACATGCATGTGGTGATGTGTTTGTAAGATTTCCCCCTTTTGGGCATTCCTATGGCTTAAAGTCAGGGGTGTGGCCGTTTTGATTGACAGGTTCAGCTTCCTCAAGAACTGAACTCAAGACTTTATTTGTGATGTTCAGAACACTTGGTATCGCTGCTGTGTGATGAAGGATGTACAAAAGTCTAGTGAGGGCACTTTTTGCATTTGTATGTTGCTTAGCATTAATTAGCAGATATGGAAGCAGCTTGATAACGAAGCTTGCTAGTATTAGCCAGTAAGTTAGCATACACTCATTTCAAAAGGAAACTTCTGGCTGGAAGACAGCAGCCACAATGCTAACGGTGAGAACATTGAGACAAATTTTAACGGTGTATATAAATGCACTCTATTCATCCTGCTTACTGTGGCAATTTATATAATTATTGATTTTTATCTTACTTTGGAGTCCTTGTTTTTTCTTGAACGGTTCATATTTAAATTCAACTAAAGAATCTTAAAGTAAAAAGATAATTTAGGCAACACAAACAAAGACACACCTTGTGCTGACTAAGTAAGAAAGGCAGAAGCATGAGCAGTCCACCATCATGTACGATCCACCACACATCAACGGTGCCCTCCTTCAGACGCTCCTGGTTAGCAGGGAAATGGTCGATGTTCTTGGCTACGAGCAGAGCCTGATGTGCCGAAGTCGTCTCTCTAACGGTTTCTGCAGGGAGAGAAAAAAGATGTTCCTGAGCCCCGTCCAAAATCTCTAACCTTGTGCGTAAATATGGCGGCCCTAAACACCGGAAATTATGAAAACACCAGCAAACAGAAAAATGCAGCAAAGGCACATAAAACCTGGAAGAAAAAGAAGAGAAATAAAACACAAAGGAAGTAGAAAAACCAAAATCTCACAACACACAGAAGTGTTTTTGGGAACACATTACTGTGACGAAGCAGCTGTGGAAGTGACACACACCCAAACATGTGAAGTACTTTTGCAGCATTTTTCTATTTGTTGGGGTTTTTCTTAAACTGCAGTCCATTTGAACTCTCAGGGCCACTGTAAATCTGTAAAACCATAAAATCCTGGCGCGCAACAATACTTGTGACTTTCGCTTAATTTGTCATCTGCATCTGCAGGACATCTGGACTAAAAACATCTGTAATCTACTCGGTAATGTGTGATTACATGTCTATGTGGTCATAATAGAAGAAATGTAAAAAACAATACAGTAAATGTCAAATGCTGATATTTTTGGCATTAATATTTTTGTAATGACATCTTTTCTATTTCTTTACAATAAGAATGTTGCTATAACGTTAGCACGCCATTAAGGACGGGTTTTGTCCTCTTAGTGAAGTGAAGGGCTCATTAAAAGAAATGCAGTTCTGTAAATTGTTGTCCACAGTATTTAAGTAGTTATGGATTAGCAAATGATTGATCTCAGTTATTACAGCTTTTGAAGCCTTTTGACATGTTGCCTCATCAGAAAGCTATTTGTAATTTTCTCAGTATTGCAGTGTTGTCACACAAAACCCTTCTGTTGAGTTTACCTATAAAGTTTCTCCTTACGGAGGAGTCCCGGTCCTGTTTCCAGCCTGTTGGCCAGGCCATCAGCACGGCATTGTGCTTCATTCCCCCCAGTCCAGCTGACTGAATGAGGATGGAGAAACCATCTCGCAGGCTGGACGACACCACGACGTGAGAGAAACCCTTTGTCTTCTCCGCAGCCATGGCTGCTTTCAAGTTCTGCCGGAAGCAAGCAAGGAAAAGAAAGGAACCGTTTTAGGTGCTGAGTGGTGTGCAATATTTTGATTCATTCACAGCTTCGGCAACATGTTGGTTCATATTCGAGCGAACATATAGAGCAGGAAAACAAACGTAATTACAAAAGTAAGAGACACATGGAAGAAGGTTAAACGCAAACATTAGCATGTACAGTGAAGTCATGGCTAGCCGATGAGAGCGAACGATTGAACAAACTGAGAAACCTGCTCTCCTTTCTTGGCCTCGTCCCCTCGGGTCATGTATGTCCCCTCCAGGACGGAGCAGACGATGGTCAGCCCCTTCCCCGCTTTGAGCTGCGTGGCGAAGGACAGGAGACGAGGGTGTGTCACCTCCAGGTCTGAGTTCAGTTTACACAACACCAGCAGCTGAGGCCTGAAGACAGAGCCAAAAATACAAACGTCTAGCAGCAAACAACCGAAAAACAATCAAAGTAATTTTTCTGAATGAATGACAGTCTGTCTGCAGACAACTGTAGTTCTTTAGAGGACAAGATGATAAAAAATGTAATGACTGTCAGTGACAATGAGGCTGCAGCTTAACTGTTCAAGATTTGAAATCAGATTCAGAAAAATAACTGTGCCGAGGTAAAGGTGATGTCATATTGTTCAACATTTGTTCAACAGCCCAAATCTGAATATTCAGTAGATTAAATGTAGAGCAGCAGATTTCTCTGCCAATCTCTGAGTTTAAGAAGAACGTGTTTGTGATTTCTAAGTGATTAAATATAGACCAATCATTATTTGTTGCCTCTAATTAAAATACTCTATTGTGAGAGAAGTGTTTTTGCACTCACCTCCAGTTTTTGGTGTGTAACGGTGCCTCCTCTAGCCGGATGAGAGCGTAGCGTGCTGCATTTAAGGACAGACCTCTGATTCCATCTCCCCACTCCTTCACTGCCCTGCACCACCATTAAAACTGTTTTACTACATCTCAACAAACAAGAACTCATTTTGATTTTCAGAAAAAGGTGTTGTTGGGATGGGAGCGTATGTGGCTCTAAAACTTGTAGAAACCTTTTCACCACCTGATGGCATCCTTCCAGTTGTGTAAGCTGCCAATTCCTTGCACACTAATGCATCTGCATAACATTAGAGATGCAGGCTTTTGAAAAGAGTGCTGATAACAGGCCAGCTCATTCCTCTCCTCTTTAAATCGGCGAGTACAGCGCCCGTGTTTTTCAATTTTAATATTTTTATTCATCTGGCCACAGAAGATTTTATATTTGGCCCAGTGAACATGGCGGTTATCGGTCATATTCTTTGCAAGAAAGAGCTTTAACCTGCATTTGTGGATGGCACAGCAAACTGTGTTGACAGAAATGTTTTCTGGAACGGTTCCTGAGCCCATGCGCTGCTTTTCAGTGACATAATATTGTCTGTTTTTCATGCAGTGCCAACTCAGACCCTTTTTGGCCTTGTCTTGTGCACACAGATATCCAGATTCTCTGAATCTTTTAATGATATCATGTACTGTGTATGATAAGATAGTTTGCATTTCTGAAATTGTTCCACATTTTGTCAATTTGTCACAGTTCTTTGAAGACTGGCAAACCTTAGCCTCTCTTTACTTTTGAAAAGCTCAGCCGCCCTAAAACGATTGTTGTGTATCAGTTTGTTTCTGACCATACCTTCTTGCCTGCACCTGGTTTAAACGCTGAATTGATCTCATCACCTGAAACTTACCCTTTGTATTCAATGTATTTGTAGATACAGCCGGCTATCACTATGACGACCAGAGCGTAGATCCAGGAGGAGATGAACATGAGGGAGAGACAAAGACTCATCCCTAAGAAGGACAGAGTCCTACAGGAAACAAGCAGTGTCATCATTACTGTTACACTCAGAGATAAGAGAGTTTTCTAGGACATGCTCTTACCAGTGATAGAACTTAAAGCGAGGTCTCCAATTGGGGGTGCAGAGCAAAGTCTGGACAGCACAGGCCAGGTTGACAAACAGATAGCACATGAGGAAAAACCTGAGAAGACCAGTGATTAGTATGAAATGTAAAGACATTAACAAATTCAGTGACAAAAAGAGGGAAAAAAGCACATACATGGAGAGGATGGGGGCTACATGATCCAGAGAGGCAATAAGGATTCCTATCTCGCAGATCCCAACAGTCAGCAGCAGAGCCCAGGTGGGCTCACCGTTAGCCTTCCCATGACCAAAGACCTGAGAAAGAGAGATCCAAAGGACAGAGGTTTGATGTAGTACTTATTTTTATCAAGGTCAAAACGGCACGCCTTTCTAACGCGTATGTCCCCCCCTCGGCCAACGCGGATGCAGCCTGTGACTCTCTCCACTCTGTGGTCAGCAGACTGCAAACACAATCTCCGAGAGCCCTTCTCATAATATCAGGGGACTTCAATCATGCCTCACTGGACTCCACACTGCCCACCTTCACCCAGTATGTGACCTGCCCAACCAGAGTCAATAAAACACTGGACTTACTGTATGCCAATGCAGAAGAGGCATACAGTTCATCACCTCTCCCTCCCCTGGGCAGATCTGATCACAACCTGGTGCACCTTGTCCCTGTGTATGAGCCCTTAGTGCGCAGGGAGCCACCAGCCACCCGCACAGTACAGAGATGGTCAGAGGAGCGAGGAGGCTCTTAAGGATTGTTTTGAGTCGACTGTGTGGGAGGTGATTTGTGATGACCACGGTGAGGACATCGACAGCCTTACTACATGCATTACTGACTATATAAACTTCTGTGTGGATAACACCGTACCTACCAGGACTGTACGGTGTTTCTCCAACAACAAACCTTGGATTACCCCAGAAATTAAAACCGTCCTCAAGCAGAAGAGGAGGGCCTTCAAATCCAGAGACAAAGAGGAGTTGAAAAGGGTGCAGAGAGAGCTGAGGGGACTGATAAGGAATGGGAAGGAGAGCTACAGGCAGAAGATGGAGAACCAGCTTCAACAAAACAACGTTGGTGAAGTCTGGAGAGGCCTCAGAACCATCTCGGGCCACAAACAGCAGAACTCTCTGCCTGGGAGGGATGTGAGGTGGGCAAATGAACTGAATCATTTCTTCAACAGATTTGATTCACCATGAGACAGTCTACAACATCGGCTGCAGACTCACCCACCCCCACTGCTGCTGTTCCACCTCAGACACTTCACACCTCCTCTATTCACCCTGCTCACTCCCCCCCACCCCCAACAACAGCATCCAATACACACTCAACACAAGGCTCCAGCCTGTCTCTCTCAACCACCCAGGTTAGGAGAGAACTGAGGAGGATTAATGGCAAGAAGGCAGCGGGTCCAGATGGCATCAGCTCGAGGGTCGTCAGGTCCTGCGCGGACCAACTGTGTGGGGTGATGGAGCACCTCTTCAACCTGAGCCTGAGGTTGGGAAGAGTCCCACAGCTCTGGAAAACCTCCTGTGTTGTACCAGTGCCAAAGACTTCACGCCCCAAGGACCTCAACAGCTACAGGCCGGTGGCTCTGACATCCCACCTGATGAAGACCCTGGAGCGGTTGGTCCTGGCTCAGCTTCGGCGCCTAATAAGCTCATCACTGGACCCACTTCAGTTTGCCTACCAGCCTGGCATTGGAGCGGATGATGCCGTCATTCACCTCCTACATCGTTCCCTCGCTCACCTGGAGACCGCTGGAAGCACTGTGAGAATCATGTTCTTTGATTTCTCCAGTGCCTTCAACACTATTCTTCCCTCGGTTCTGAAGGACAAGCTGGTGAACTCTGGAGTGGACCATCACCTCACTACATGGATCCTGGACTACCTCACCGACCGACCACAGTATGTGAGGACTCAGGGCTGTGTGTCGGACAGGGTCGTCTGCAGTACGGGGGCCCCACAGGGAACGGTTCTGGCTCCGTTCCTCTTCACCATCTACACTGCAGACTTCTCCCACAATTCCACCCAGTGCTTCCTGCAGAAGTTCTCTGATGACTCTGCAATAGTCGGCCTCATCACTGATGGGGACGACAAGGAGTACAGAGGACTGACTCAAGACTTTGTGGACTGGTGCCAGCTGAACTACCTCCAGATCAACGCCAGTAAAACCAAGGAACTGGTGGTAGACTTCCGCAGGCACAAGCATTCTCCACTGCAACCACTGAACATCCAAGGTATGGACATTGAGGCTGTGGACAGCTACAGGTACCTTGGTGTTCATCTGAACAATAGACTGGACTGGACTCATAACTCAGACGCCCTCTACAGGAAAGGGCTGTACCTGCTGCGGAGACTCAGGTCGTTTGGAGTGGAGGGCCCACTCCTGAAGACCTTCTATGACTCTGTTGTGGCTTCTGCTATCTTTTATGGTGTGGTCTGCTGGGGCGGCAGCATCTCTGCTGGGGACAGGAAGAGACTGAACAGGCTGATCCGAAGGGCCAGCTCTGTTCTAGGATGCCCTCTGGACCCAGTGGAGGTGGTGAGTGACAGGAGAACGGCGGCTAAGCTGTCATCCCTGATGGACAACGTCTCCCACCCCATGCAGCAGACTGTGACAGCACTGAGCAGCTCCTTCAGTGGGAGACTGCGGCACCCACGGTGTGGGACGGAGAGATTTCGCAGGTCTTTCCTCCCCACTGCTGTCAGACTCCATAATAAAGACTTTAACTGATCAAGCACACACATCCATACATATGCAATAATACTAAGTGCAATAATCCTTTCTGTCATCGTTGTATTTTTACTCAGTTGTATATAGTATTTGTATTTGTATTCTATTTTTATCTTATTGTATATAGTATTTTATTTTATTCTATTCTGTACAGTTGTGTACTGTATTTATTCTTATTGTATTCTAATTTTTGCCTCATAACTTTTGCACTGTCCACTTCCTGCTGTGACAAAACAAATTTCCCACGTGTGGGACTAATAAAGGTTATCTTATCTTATCTTATCTTAACTCCTGTGTGAGAATTTGCAGCTTTTCTCTCATTTATTAGGTTAGAAACTGAAAAAACATTTTGAGAAAAACATAAAATGAAACAGATTAAATACACAACCCAAACATGCTTCCTTAAAACTCTGGGAAGCTGCGACGGGTATAATGTAACCAGTCCTTTAACAATTTATGAATGAAACAATCAGTTCAGAAGACTTTGTGAAAAAGAAGGAAATCTTTTAAACAATCATTTAAAAATGAGAAAGTAGACCAAACATTTTTTACAGTACACATTCATAAGTTATGACTACCTCTGCCGTTGGCTTTTAAACGGTAAAAAAGCACAATAATGAAGCACGAAAGGAAGCTGCGTGTGCACTTTCAAGATAAAAATGAAAAAGGAATAGGTGTTTTTCAAAAGAGGTGATCTTCCACTAACCTGTAAGAAAGGAATGATGCCGTCGCGAGCAATGGCCTGCAACAGCCGGGGGGCACCTGTAAGGCTTTGCAGTCCCGCCCCGCAGCAGGAAAAAAATGAGCCAATCACAATCACCCACGGTGATGGCCAGGCCAGAATGCTGATGACAGGTTTCGTCTTTACTGAGAAACCAAACCTGAAGCATACATACGCTTTATTAAACAGCAATCGCAATGATAAAAATGCATTATGAGACGTTCTGAAAAAACAAAGCACCTGCTTTTCCAAACATTTAAACATTCTTACTTGTCTCTCAGGACCACTCCTTCAATACAGGCTCCAAACAAGACCACAAAGGAGATATCTGACCAGGAAGTTAAGATGAAAACACTGGGACAATTTACATCAACAGCCTGTGACAATATCAATCTGCTGCTCTTCACCCACAGCTGGTGCATAAATATCACCTCATTTAGAAGCAGCGTGAATCTGGGAATCATCAACATTTTCTTCCCTCAATTCATTTAATATTAATAATGATAATAAGAAGACAAAGAACGCCCTGAATTGCGTAAGCCGTTAAGACAACTAATGGAAACAAATAAGTAATTATAAAGTCAACAAAAAGTGCTTACAGAATAAAACAGAGAACAACGTGGAAACAAAAGAAATCTAAAAAACAGTAAATATATGAAAATAATGAATAATAATGAAAGTAAGAGATGTTTGGATCCTCGCTGGATGTCAAACCTTTCTCAACTTTTTAGTCAAAGTAATAAGTCATAGTGCATGACCCATTACATCTCAGTTATCATCACACCTGAGGAAACCGGGCTTTCTGCCTTTCTCCTCAGACACTAGTGTTTCAGTTTCTTCAGCTGCTCTTGTAACGTAGTAACAGTGTCACCTCCGTCTCCACTGCACCTCGAGATAAATAGGTTCCCTAATGCTGACCAACAGGGATTATTAGTGGAAACAGTGGATTTACTTTAAACGACTTCTTAATCTCAGCTAAAAATGAGACCAAGAAGACAAGAAGTGGTGTCCCCCCAAACCAAACCTCAAGCGTGCCTTTACACTTGAACACTCGTGTGAACAAGCAATTAACCCTTAGGAACACCAAGAGAGTCTTGCACTGCCACACCTGATGTCCAACTTTCCCTCACTGGTCTTTCAGGTCTGGGAGGATCAAGAACCACAAGACTCCAGAAGGGCCTTTTCTGGATTTGCTCCTTGGGGAACCAGCAGCAGTGAAAGAGTTTCTGGGTGTTCCTGCAGCAGTTCCACAGACACAATCGACACATTCAGGATCTCGAGGATACAGATGAAGGATGTGGTGAGAATAGCCAGTATGGTTCCTATTGGGATGGATCTCTGGGCGTCTCTGAGATCACCTGACCTGTTAGAACCAGCCATTATACCTGAAACGCAACACAAACTTTACTCATGTAAATGCATTAAAACTATAATTCCTCACGCTCAAGTCCCTTGAAACGTTTATCCTAAATGATTTCTCATCTTTGTATAATGTGACCACAATAAATCATCTACCTGTGACAGAGGGGAAGTATATTCCCACCAGCAGAGTGAAGTAGGTGGCCCAATCGTTGAAGACGTAGTTCTTAAGTTTGTCGTTGTTGGCCTCGGCTGGTACAGAAGACAGGTTTTTCCTCTCTATCACCATGTTGTCTGGGCCATAATTGCCCCACAAGTTGTCTAAAGGAAAGACAAGCACAGGCTGCATGATCAGAATTTACTGCAGAAAAAAAAGACTGACAGGAGGAACTCAGTGGATTTTTGCTTGACGGTGACGCACCGTTGATGACTTCCCCCAGGACTCCCGGTGTGGCCTGGATCTCGGTCAGGTTGTTTAAGGCGAAGTACTCGTCACAGGTTGCGTTGAGATATGGACTGTCACAAAAAAGGTTCCAGAGCTCCACATCTGTTTTTGCGCACTTTTCAAACATTTCATTCTTCAGAGTGCGGTTCCCCAACAGACAGACACTAGAGGAGAAAAATGAGATCAAGCATTTCATAAATTGTTGCAGACACAGCCCCCCCTCCTCACGCACGACAAAGGAGTGTCTACTTATTATTTCTTATTGTCAGATTAGATTCATCCATGTGCATGTGACGAGGGCGACAATCTAAAATCCACCCATCCATCGTCTTCCGCTTACCCGGGGCTGGGTCGCGGGGGCAGCAGCCTAAGCAGAGACGCCCAGCCTCTACCGGCTGAGAACCGTGATCTCAGATTTGGAGGTGCTGATTCACACTAGGCTGCGAACTGCTCCAAAGCAAACTGGAGGCCATCACCTGATGAAGCCAACAGAACCACATCATCCGCGAAAAGCAGAGATGAAATTCTGAGACCACCACTTGGCTGTGCCTAGAAATTCTGTCCATAAAAATTATGAACAGAATCGGTGACAAAGGGCAGCCCTGGCGGAGCCCATCACCCACCGGGAACAAGTCCGACTTATTGCCGGCTACGCGGACCAAGCTCTTGCCACAGTTGTATAAGGATCAATGGGCCAAACACCCCATAATCCTGGAGAACCCCCCACAGGACGTCCCGAGGGACACGGTCTAAATCTGTGGAACAGGTGCTGGCTTTACAGATACATATTGGTGTCAGAATTTGAAGATGTTCAGTGCAGTACTGAGTAAAGGACACCAGAAGTAACGGTGCCAAGGTATTCAAGATCCCTTCCAACTTTACACTTTGTTACAGTCGCAGTCTCTTGGATGTCTTATGTAAATTTCAAATACCCATGCTAATACATACGATCTTTTTTTAATAGTAGTTTCAAGTTTTATTGTCATGTACAGATAAACAGTGTAGCCACATTTATCCATAATGACATTCTTTGGCTCGTGCTCCTCAGCTTTACATGAGCATATAGAGAGTGCAGTTATATTGAGAAGAAAACAACAGAAAATAGCAGTGATAGTAATAAAATAATAATAACAATAACATCAATAAAAGGAGAGAAAAAAGTATTAAATATTAGAGAATTTAGTTGGTATTTACATTTAAGACATTTAGTATCTAACAAAAAGCAAAGAAAACCAGCTGAAAGAGACTAGAAACTACAATTCTACTTTTGTGCAAGTTAAACAGATCTCATACAGTTACTCTAAGACGTTATTTTAAGGTTTTCCTAAAACTCCCTGAAGTCTCCAGTTTCTCCCATATTGGCTTCTTTTCATTGGCTCCCAGTTAAATCTAGAATTACATTTAAAATCCTTCTGCTCTCTTATGAGGTCTTGAATAATCAGGCACCGTCTTATCTTAAAGACGTCATAGTACCATATCAACCCAACAGTGCACTTTGTTCTCAGACTGCAGGTTTACATGTGGTATTTAAAAATAGAGTGGGACGCTGAGCCTTCAGCTTTCAGGCCCCTCTTCTGTGGAACCAGTTCCCAGTTTGGATTCAGGAGACAGACACTATCTCTAACGTAAAGATTAGATTCAAACGTTTCTTTTTGATACTGCTTGAGTTAGGGCTGGATCACTTGACACTGAATCCTCCAGTTATTAGTTTTCACTCCAATTTTCACACTCATACTTTCATTGTGTATTTATACACCACTCTACACTTAATTAGTCTGGCTCTCTTGTACTTCCTAACCTCGCCCCCAGCTGATCATTGCAGATGGCCCCGCCCCTCCCCGAGCCTGGCTCTGCCAGAGGTTTCTTCCTGTTAAAAGGGAGTTTTTCCTTCCCACTATTGCCAAAACGCTTTCTCACAGGGTCATCTGATTTCAGGTTCTACCTTATTAAAATAAATATAAAGCATGTACTGAATTGAATCTCCACTCTTCAAAAGCTGTATATCACTGCAGCATTTCCCTCCCCCCACATATGAACTGTACAGTGTGCAGAAAGACAGAAGCTGTTTTTCATATTTTCCCTTCTATTTACCAGATGAAGACAAATCAAATCAGAAAATAAAATACACATTTTAAAAGACTATCTGACCGAATGACTCTAAAAGGTGTTTCAAGTTTCTTGCAGCTTCACACACTCACGTATACACTTACCCAAGTACTTAAAACAAACTTTGCAGTGGTTGCAAACTAACAAACAAACTAATCCAGTTCCTTATCTTAAAAAAAGGATAAATCAGCTGTAGTACAATAAACTGCTTAAAATGTATCTGTAAGCACTGACAGTACGTGATTTTCACTGTCAGAGAAAACATGCCAGCACTTCATAAAAAGCGGTTGCTCAGTTATTAGTCGCTCACCTAAAGTTTGAGGGTTTGATGGCCGTCTTGATGGCTCCTGCGTAAGTGGCCATGATAGACAGAACCACACAGGACAGAAACACCAGAGCCAGCTTGTTCACATACCTGCAGACAGAAGGAGAGGGGCAAATGTGAGCCTGTGTGGTGTGTTCTTCTGTTTGTGTGTGTCAGATGGTGAATGGAAACTTACTTCACCCCTACAAACACAACCAGTGCCATCAGGAGCAGGCAGCAGGTGCCATAGATTCGCATGTCGTTGGCCGTTGTTTCTTTGACCACTTTTTCAGGTGGAATGATGTAGAGCTGGTAGACGGCAAAGAGAAAAATCAGATCGATCGAGGGATTAATGTGCAATCAGAAGGGCACTGACATGGCTGCCTCCTTGTATGACATAGAGTTTACAAACCAAAAGAATCTCTATGGTTCCAAGAATGTACAAGGATCCAGCGAAGGTGGTTCCCAGGTACAAACAAAGTCCCACAGCACCTCCAAACTCTGGACCCAAGGATCTGGAGATCATGTAATACGAGCCACCGGCTGTCAGGAAGTGATCACAAAAATACATTTTACTAGTTTCATGTCTACACATACACAAATGTAAAAAAATAAATAATGCCAATAAAGTTTCCGGTGACAAACTGATAGTTGCCTGTTCCTGTGCTCGTAGACCAGTTTGGGCATAAAACTGTTTCAGAATGTTTTCTTTTAGCTCACAGGGATTACTTGCATAACACTGACCTCGCTGTTTGAAAATGTTGCCCATATTTGATATAAACATTGATTATTTTACCAGCATCTACATAACATAAAATAACGTAAAATAAGGACAATTGGTCCCCTTTAAAATTGGGCTCTGTCCATTTGCAGCTTTTGTGCATTGCATTAGATTTCATATATTAGCTACTGAGAATATTCTACTGAGATTTAAAAATCCAATATTCCAACATATCGAACTATGTTTTCCCTTTCAGACACAAAACATAACAGACAAGGGCCAAATATGCTTATGTTATTTACTCGTTTGTGTTCTGCTAAATGTATAAACTGTAAGTATGTATCAAGCGCTTGTTGTGTTTGTGGTATTACAAAGAAGTGTGTTGCCAACAGGGATGATGCAGAGTGTCCAATCAATCAGCAAATAGCAGATATCGGCTGATAACACTGGCATGCCAAACAATTGGTTGTGCTCTACACAGTGTGCAGAATTAGCTTGCTCTCACACAATGATGAAGTTTAAAAAACATTTTGGATGCTGTGCAAATCATAGCTCAATTCAAACTCTGTATAATCTCACTCACAATTGCAGCTATTTTTGCAGACTGCATGTGCATACATCTCTTGTACCGTAAAAGCAAATCAAATAATTCATTATGTACCTGGGACAACTCCATTTGTTGCAATGGCACTCATTGATATAGCTGTGAGCAATGTCTGCATGAAAAAAGCAAAAGAAAACAGGACAGATGATCACCAGTGGATGGTTTGTAAAAGCAACATAAAAGAAAGAAAGATAAATGAAAATAACTTTGACCAGCTTGTGTTTGTCAAGTTTGTTAAGTTGTCAAGGTGCAAGCATCATGCTCAGATAATAGTGCTTTGAATTGCAGCTGAGCGGAAGTACAATGTGTCAATAAAATACAAAGTACAGTAAGTGCCTGAAAACAGTCACTGAAGCCTCTGATTAGAATTAGGAGTGCAATAATGTGAAACATGCAGCATGCAGAGTACTAAATACTCTGCATGCTGCATGTTGTTTTGTGCAATATGCCAGTGGAAAAAACATTCCAGCATTTTGTTTCCACTCCATCAAACACAAAGTTGCCTAAATTTAGCAGAATCAGTGAAAGCACCAGTGTCAAACCGAGTGTGACTGAGGGCCAGGCTGAAAATCAGAAACACTGAAGTACAGTCATATATTTGTGCATTTTGTATTTATTGTACTTAGTCAAGAAAAATAAGCTTGATTGTCTCACTCTGCAATGTTTGAGTTTTACTCAAACACTGTTGGAAAATTCATTTCATTCACCATACAGTCAAGCTCTGTGCAGTGAAACTGGTTACAAATAGCAACAAATAAAATACAAAAACGCAAATAAACTTTGTAGTTTCTGCAGAGATGAAATGGCGAGAGTCTCTGTTTCCAGGAGATTTGTTCTAGAAGGTTTCTCCAAGGTTTTACTGAATGAGCCCTTCTGTTAGGATGCTGCCCCACTAACGGGGAGGAACCTTAAGTGTCAAACACAGACACAAGAAAAATGAGACCACTGGCATCATCACCTCTATTGCCCGTCATCTCTTTGGTGTGGAGCATACGAGCGTGTCAGGGTGAGTCTAAAATGTAAAGGAGTTGTAGTTTGCAGATTGTTCGCATCACATCACATGAGTGCTGAGCATTCAAGTTCAAACTTTGAAACAGGCACTTCTCTGTCTGGCCATCTGGAGCTACTGACGTATGTGCTGCGGTTGTAAATAAGGTTTTCTGCTCGTTTTGGGGACTCGGACAAAGACATTATGATAAGATAAGATAAGATAGAACTTTATTAATCCCTCGGGTGGGTTCCTCTGGGAAATTCGACTTCCAAAAAGCACAGCAACGACCGAAGTTACAGTTACAGAATTGTTATATATATATATATATATATATATATATATATATATATATATATATATATATATATATATATATATATATATATATATATATATATACACACACACACACACATATATAAATACAGAGACAAATATAAATAAAATATACAAAGGGGATAAATAGAATAAATAGGAATAAAAAATAATAAAAAATAAAAAATAAAAACATAAATGCTCATCACACCATAAATTCAGAGGAGCTGTGATTGGCGTGACGTAAATCTCACACTCAATCGCAGCTACATCACTGATGGCTGGCCAAGAGGGACAGTTTGTTTAGCACTGCCACATTTTGAGACTCATTAAGCAGCTCGTCATCTGAAGCTGTCAATTACTCACGCAGATGCAGCACATGGAGACAATGGCGAAAGATCCGAGAATTCCTGCTGTGCCGACAATCCAGGTGAGGCGCAGAAAGAGAATCACCCCCAGAATGTTCTGCATGCAGGGCAGGTAGACCCCAATGAATGTTCCCATATGGGGGACCTGCCGACAGACAAACAGACATGCACAAAGGTGAGAGTGAATCTTGAATTATGCCTCATTGCACTGTTACTGAGGAGATGAACATGAGAGTAGGCTGCAATGTGGGGAAATCCAACACGTGTCCCTCCTCACAGCCACACCAAGCCACTTAAAAAACGTCTTGTCATTCAAAGTGTTAAATTACAAAGCACATCCTGCACTTAACATTACTGTATGTTTACAGTGCGTCGGCATGTTATCATCTGTTTAAGATGCATCAAACTCAATGCCACTTACTTCTAGTTAAATCTAAAAATAATCTCTTGCGTTTTCAAAGACTCTACAGTCAGATGTTTTCTGGTGGTTGTCCTCTTAATGCCCATCAGATCATGAGCAGCCAGCCCAGGGTTAGTGTCAGGTTTTCTTTTAGCCACGTGCCGTTTCACAAAATGAAAAAGTAAGGGAACAACTAAATCATACATCCTTGATTGGCGAAAAATCAAGTTACTGACTACACTGTATGACAAAGGTCAGCGGAAACCGGAATCATCAACACAAAATATTACATTATTCACTTTTATTTTAATTACATGCGTATAAAACATGTCGATAGGTTAAACAGTTTTACTGAAGAGAATAAGGCTAAAAAAATCTGTATTTTCGAGATAATCTTGTGCTTAACACAACTTGCAGAAAATGAAAACAATTAGATGGAAAATATGAAAAATTTAATCACACTGAAGCTGTCATTTACCGACTAACATCAAAGCTCATTAAAAACACCAGCAGGGTCACATAACTTGAACGATTTAAGTGCAGTATAGCATTAGCAATGCGGATTACAATAGCCAAGCACATGCATACTGCACACGCACGCCTCCACAAACACCAAAGAGTACGTACCATTTTCCGACATGCAAACATTTTGTCCTGTGCTTTCTCCATTGCACTCAGCTGTTTGTCAAAATGCTGCAAAGTGCCTGCTGTGGATTTCCAAACCTCCCACATCTTCTCCTTTCTGTTACACTGCCTCGCTCTCCTGCCTGTTTTCTCCCCTTCACTGAGCCGTTTAAGTTAAAGGTCCAGATCCTCTGCAGAGCTCTCAGCTCTCATTCAGGGGGCGGGTTTTAGTCAAACATCATCAATGCTTCCACATAGAGCAACAGACCAAGGTCCCACTGTCTCGTCAATGACTAATGTTGTTTTTGACTTTAGCAAAAGCACAAAAGGGACAGAAATTGTTGCAATGAAAGCGCCTTCTCAGTTAAAAGCCCGTTTTCTGCAGCATGTACAACTTTTGCCACAAAGCAGCAGTTTTGAAACATATTTTATTGTGTGTTTGTCTGCTTTCTTTTTTAAACCTGTGGACCTGTGGTCAAAGGCTAGCTGTTCCTCTGTGTATCCGGTTAATAAGCCACTCTAACAGACTATTGGCAGTAGCTTGACAGTTATCAAAGTCACCCACCCAGGTAACATCTGTACAGATGTTTTACCAGGAAAAATGTTGTCGTTTTTCTCTTCAGTTTGAGTCGAAGAAAATTGGTCTCCCTGATCACATTTCCATACCAGGCAGTTTATTTAAGCACAAAGGAGATGAAATCAATCTTATGACCTAATGAAGGTGGTTGTTAACATCCCTCATCTAAGTCCTGATAAAAAGATACAACTGTTAATGTGCTGTATGTCTGGTTGTGTTGAACCGGCTGTCTGCACTGTATTTGTAAAATCCCCAGCTCTATCACATGAAGCTCAAGGGATTAAAGATGGATAGATTTAAAACAAAAAAATCTGAACATTTAATCTTTTCTGCCTCAAACTCTTCTGTTTTCTCTCTTTGTCGCACCATTTGACCTATTTTCACTTGCTCTTGGCTCAGTTTTTGGCAACATTTTTAAAGCAAGTGAAAGATTTCCAGAGTGTGAGACCTTGAGGAGGATTATGGTAAGACATTCAGACTAACGGTTCACAGAATGAGTTTCCACCTCCGGTTGATGAGGGCCTAATCTGTGAACAAAGTGAAAAAATATCATTGCAGTCCATCGTCGTCACTGTGCACAGTGCAGAAGAAGGAACAAGCCTTTGGGCTCCTATTGTTCATGCTTGTGTTGCTGTCAGTCCTTTAGCTTAACTTATGTTGAAGACAACAGAAATCAAACAAACTAGTGCATCTCAAAAAAATCTTATTATGAAAAATGTTCTTTTTTTAAATTTTATTTAACTCAATAAGGTAAAATAAAAGTAAATGTTAAAGGGTGGGGTTTATAACTCATGCAAATCAAAGAAAACCGTCATTTGGACTAAAGCCCCATTCAAACAGCTTAAAGATGTACGTCTTGGTCCAGTTCTGTACATGTAACCATGGTCGGGGAAAGACTGATGACTCAGAACTCTTTCAGATGACGATCACCAACAGCGCCCACGGGGATAAACCACATAAGGTCATTGCTGAAAAGGTTGGCTGTTTGCAGGGTGCAGTAATAAAGTATATTAATGGAAAGCTGACCGGGAGAGAAAAGTGTGGTACAAGAAGGTGCATAAGTAGCAGCCATGACTGCAGCGCTGATGTCGATTATGATGTTTGACGTCATGTTCGGTTCAAGAGAACTTTACAAGCGACGGTCTGACACTGGTTGCATCAAGATCATGCACCGACGTCTTCAGGAAGGGAGCTACTACTGTTTACTTAGCCTGGCAGGGCGAAGGACACTGTCTCAGCTGAACTCTGGACACACACGCACACAAACATATATACACATGCAGATGCGCAGCAGTCCAAAGTGCTCTTTTTGATGAATGTAAGTTTTGTATTTCTTTTTGAAATGAGGGTCCTAGTGTCTGGAGGAAGTGGAGAAAGCAGAGAATCCACTTTCCAACTTTATTAATTGCATTGCAATAACATCTACTGGTGTTTTTAACAATAGCTGTTTTTAAAAAATAGTGCACAGGTTAAAGGACAAAACAATAGGGCAGCAAGGCGTCGTTTGCATGCTCTCCCCATGCATTTGTGGCTTTTCTCTTCGTACTCTGTCTTCGTGCCGCAGTTTAAAGACATGCAGTTAGTTTGGTTAGGTTAATTAGGGATTCTAAATTGCCTGTAGGTTTGAATGTGAGTGCAAATGGCAGTCTGTCTCTCTACATTAGGCCTGTGACAGATGGATGTCCTTTGACAGCTGGGATAGGCCAGGCCCCTCTGATCCTGAACCGGAGAAGTGCAAGAAAATGGTTGGATAAAAAGACAATTAAGGCTTTCATCTTGAAATAAACTTTAAAAGGCTGGTTTCAAAGCATGGAAACAAAATAAACTACATGTAAGGATTAAATATCTTTAATAAGGATGCAGTAACAGTAACTTAACTAACATAGAGTAACTTTACAGTCGGATACTTAAAATTGTGGGTCTGTGTCTGTATCCAAACACTTTCTAACTGCACTGTTTAGCATAAAACGTCTGGTCTCTATAGATAATTACTCCTTCACAACAACGTCTTGGGGTTATTTTTCATATTAACTCAACCCTTTGAACGTGAGGATCAAAATTAGGACGTTTACAGCTGCTGTGCTGCTAATTCAATTCAGTGAAGTGAATGAAACACGAAACCTCCTTTTTTGTTTGTGCTGCCTTTTATGTTTCATGTTATACTGAAACAGAATGTGCTTGTATATCGAAAAATAAAAACAGGATGGCAGATGAAAAAGATAAGCAGATATTCCAGACGAAAAGAAAGGCCTTCTTGTGTACAGATATAATCGGTGCTGAAGTTTTATTGCAGACGCTAAAAATCCCGCCAGAACAGATTTCAGGAGAAAGCACTCCGAGTGTTGAGGACTACACTAATGATTATGTTGGCGCAAAGCATGCATGCTTTCATTAAGAGTTCTGCTGGCTCAAAAACAGGAGTCACGTACCATGACTGCAGCCCTCCTGACTCCATCCTCGGCTTCCTCATGCTCACGAACACCCTGGGTTAGGTTGGTGTAATTAGCCAGTTTGTTGAGAAAAGATGAAACCATGGGCGTACTGTCCATTTCTTCCTGTAAACAGACAGAGAACATATAAAAATAAAGACCAATCCAGGCCTTTCAAGCATGACCAAGAAATATTTCCTATTGTATGTTCCTCAGACTCCCTTTATTGACTCCAAGATCTTTATTGTGTATGTATGTAGCACACTTTCCATGTATGAATGACAGTGAGTGAACAGACTTTAAGATAACTGAGACCATCTCAGATTGATTTTGTTTATGAGAGATTTGGGACAAACTAAACAGAAGCACTCAATGACCCCAGTCTGACTTTCTTCCTATTGCAAAGATTTAAAAATTGCAACCATCTGGTCACACAGTCCTGTCTGTTTTCTATTAATGTTACATAATAACAAAAACTATATCTTACATACCGTTTAAATCGTTAGCAGCATGTTTTGGACTATATGTATTAAAAACAGACAAATCATTCATTTTTAATTCATCTTACCTCAAACAAGGCCATATTCTTGCCTTCATAGTAGGTCTCTGTGTCCATGTCTGGGTTGATGAATGCAGAGGACTCCCTCCGGTTGTCATCTCCTTTTGAGGTAAAAAAGGAGAAAAAAAGAAAGAACCAATGAATAAACAGGCAAGAGGTTGACAGAATCATTAGATGTGTATTTCCATTTGGATTTAACTAATTGTCACTGCAGAATTAGCTTACTGACTGCCTCTTGTATGTTGATGTTATAACTTGTTGCTCTTAAACAAGGACAGAGTTGTAGAAGACTTCAGAAAGGTGCGAGTCTGCCTGGACCGAGTGTCATCAGTTCTTAGTGAAATTAATGGGTGTTAGTGGGAGGCTACTTGTCTCAGCATGGTAATCCCAGTGAGCAGCCAGCATCACCCATACTCATCCCCATGACTATTCCATGTTTTTTTTTTTATTGTTAGCACACAAATAAATGTGTCACGGCTGGTGTGATCCTATACTGATGGATCTCTGTCAGTATTATGTTAGCAACATTACCAGAACCAATGATAGTCTGCAGTCCAAAGTCTCTCTAATAGTTAATGCAAATGACCTGCATAGATACTACTCTTACTGACCACGAAAGACTGATGACACATCAGGGGCAGTAACTGTGGTTTAATGTCGTCCCAAGGATTCTTAAGTATGGGTTTTGTTGGACCTGTACATCAAACTACTGGCCCAGAGCTGCAACCACTGCCTTTGTAAAAACAGCACAAGACTGCATTACATGGTCCAGGCTGTATTTGATATAGCTGTGCTCTGTGACAACTGTGTCCAGTACCATTTATAGAGAATCAGGGGTCAAAGGTTTGATCCCCTGGAGACAAATGAAGGCTTTGGCCACACTTTAGGCTTATAGTTTTGCTAACAGCTTTTGTACGCCACTTAAAGACACAGTGGCTTAGATTAACATTATGACTGGCCTGTTCAGACTGGCTTCTTTTGCCCCTGGTTGTCATGCAGTGGTCTATGACTGTTAGATATGGCATATTATCACACTCACATCACAGTGTTGTAGGCTACACTGTCGCCTTGAAGAGCCCAGGGCCTTGCATGGATTTAGTGATTGTTGAAGATAAATTAATGAGGATGGTGTACCGTAGATGCACATGACATAGTGAAGATTGTAAGAAAATTTCGCATGTGGTATTGAGTGAGAAAGAATATTGGTATGAAAGCTGCTTTTTCAACATTCATGCAACAAAAATATAAAAATATACAGGGAGTGCAGAATTATTAGGCAAATGAGTATTTTGTCCACATCATCCTCTTCATGCATGTTGTCTTACTCCAAGCTGTATAGACTCGAAAGCCTACTACCAATTAAGCATATTAGGTGATGTGCATCTCTGTAATGAGAAGGGGTGTGGTCTAATGACATCAACACCCTATATCAGGTGTGCATAATTATTAGGCAACGTCCTTTCCTTTGGCAAAATGAGGCAAAAGGACTTGACAGGCTCAGAAAAGTCAAAAATAGAGAGATATCTTGCAGAGGGATGCAGCAGTCTCAAAATTACAAAGCTTCTGAAGCGTGATCATCGAACAATCAAGCGTTTCATTCAAAATAGTCAACAGGGTCGCAAGAAGCGTGTGGAAAAACCAAGGCGCAAAATAACTGCCCATGAACTGAGAAAAGTCAAGCGTGCAGCTGCCAAGATGCCACTTGCCACCAGTTTGGCCATATTTCAGAGCTGCAACATCACTGGAGTGCCCAAAAGCACAAGGTGTGCAATACTCAGAGACATGGCCAAGGTAAGAAAGGCTGAAAGACGACCACCACTGAACAAGACACACAAGCTGAAACGTCAAGACTGGGCCAAGAAATATCTCAAGACTGGTTTTTCTAAGGTTTTATGGACTGATGAAATGAGAGTGAGTCTTGATGGGCCAGATGGATGGGCCCGTGGCTGGATTGGTAAAGGGCAGAGAGCTCCAGTCCCACTCAGACGCCAGCAAGGTGGAGGTGGAGTACTGGTTTGGGCTGGTATCATCAAAGATGAGCTTGTGGGGCCTTTTCGGGTTGAGGATGGAGTCAAGCCCAACTCCCAGTCCTACTGCCAGTTTCTGGAAGACACCTTCAAGCAGTGGTACAGGAAGAAGTCTGCATCCTTCAAGAAAAACATGATTTTCATGCAGGACAATGCTCCATCACACGCGTCCAAGTACTCCACAGCGTGGCTGGCAAGAAAGGGTATAAAAGAAGAAAAACTAATGACATGGCCTCCTTGTTCACCTGATCTGAACCCCATTGAGAACCTGTGGTCCATCATCAAATGTGAGATTTACAAGGAGGGAAAACAGTACACCTCTCTGAACAGTGTCTGGGAGGCTGTGGTTGCTGCTGCACGCAATGTTGATGGTGAACAGATCAAAACACTGACAGAATCCATGGATGGCAGGCTTTTGAGTGTCCTTGCAAAGAAAGGTGGCTATATTGGTCACTGATTTGGTTTTGTTTTGTTTTTGAATGTCAGAAATGTATATTTGTGAATGTGGAGATGTTATATTGGTTTCACTGGTAAAAATAAATAATTGAAATGGGTATATATTTGTTTTTTGTTAAGTTGCCTAATAATTCTGCACAGTAATAGTCACCTGCACACACAGATATCCCCCTAAAATAGCTAAAACTAAAAACAAACTAAAAACTACTTCCAAAAACATTCAGCTTTGATATTAATGAGTTTTTTGGGTTCATTGAGAACATGGTTGTTGTTCAATAATAAAATTATTCCTCAAAAATACAACTTGCCTAATAATTCTGCACTCCCTGTACAGCAAGCCTCTCTGGCTTTTAAAATAAGATTACAAAAGGGTTATATACCGAGGGTTATAGAGTCGGGGCAACAGCTTTGCTCAGATTGCTTCTTCTAAGCTGGGACTACCCACTAAGAGGCAGGATATCATCGGAAAACAACAATGAGATAGTGATTATGTACTGTAAGCCTGCCACTAACAGCTGTTTAAATCCAATGGCGTATCGTAGGATGAGGTTGCTCATAAACACAGATCCAGAAAGACATTCCAGAAGCTCTTGATTGTCCCAACTGTTGTTAGGTGTTGTCCAAAGAGTGATGAATTGTGTGTGTAAGCATTCAAACAGTTTTAGTGACCAAACCAGAACAGAGGAAATGCCATGTTTGCTGCTGCACATAAGGTTGTTTGCTTTGGGTCATTAGTTGCTCCTTTTTCTTTTTGCATCTTTTTTAATTACACATCCACCCTTCCACTCTCTTAACTCAAGGGTGGGGAACTCCAGGCCTCAAGAGCTGGTGCCCTGCAGGTTTTAGATCTCACCCTGGGTCAACACACCTGAATCAAGTGATTAGTCTATTACCAAGCCTCTGGAGAACTTCAAGACATGTTGAGGAGGTATTCTAGTCATTTAAATCAGCTGTGTTGGATCAAGGAAACATCTAAAACCTGCAGGACACAGGGCCTTGAGGCCTGGAGTTGGACAAATTCAGGCTGTAGACACCTGAATCAAATGGTTTGATTACCTCTTCAGCATACCATCATGTTTGGCAAAGGCCTGATAACAAGCCATTCATTTGATTCAGGTGTGTGGGAACAAGGATGCATCTAAAAGCTGCAGGACGGTAGCTCTCGAGGACCGGGATTGGGCACCCCTGCTGTATAAGAACCAGCACATGTAAATTGGTTTTGAATATTGCAAAGTGAAATAGAGTTATCAAAAGAATATGAAGCTGTGACTTAATGTCTAAAATGCTTTTGTATTCTGCCAAAGAGATATCAAGTAAGGTTGAATTAGAGCCGGGCTATACTTTCATGTGATAGCAATTTGTTCCACAAGATGTCGTAGAGGTTGTGGCGGGCCAATGTAACCTCAGAAGTCATTAAAAACACAGTCATAGTAAAATGACATCCTGGGCAAATTCAAAGCTTCTTAATGGGATTAGATATATCAAAACTCCATATGTGAATACTTTTCAACAGAACCACTGGTGAAATAGCTGTTTCACCAGCGGTGCAAGTTTTAGATAAAAATGTGATGTGTGAAATCTAGAAAGATACACAAGCACACACACTACACTTCAAGGTCTATATAGAATCGACTATTTCTTAGCTGAATTACATGGTAAAATCCACCAAACATGATATAGTGTTGATCAACAGCACAAATGGGTTAGCTTGGAGTCCTATGTGTGTGTCACTGTCAAGTGTCCTTATGAGCTACTTTTTTCTCTTTCCCCTCACTACATAAGCAGTCGTGGCCGATGGCTGCCCTGCTAAAATTGAGTTTTTCCTCCAATGGTGTCCCAGGGCACCCCATCTATGAAACAAGCATTTGAAAGAGACTGCTGTACATAGCTGCATAAAGCAACGTTAATTTCAAGCCACATCTGTTGGTGTACAGTACCCAATTTTATATTATCTAAACCTCATGTGCCAGTGTTTAATTTTTCTAATAGTTTACTTAGGAAAACAAAGTCAGATTGCATTCATTTTCTGTATAGATCTTGTCAGAACTGTTTGATGGGGAACATGGTCTGTCATCATATAGTCATGTCAGACAATTTGCAAATCATCATATTATCAGGTAAAAATCAAAAGACTTCTAAAATGGGCTGAGTTCTAAATGTCCTCTGAAAGTTCGTTGAGTGAGCGTAAAGGACTCTGACAGTTTGATGCAGTAATCATGTTAACCAGCAGAGGTCTCCATTTCAATATGTACAAAATGCCACATAGACTTTGTCTATGTTCAATAAATGTTTAATCCATTTAAATTACTAAAACACACTAAAATCCATTTGGCACATGTAAGTTGTTATTAAGTGTCAGTTAATCTGATTTGATTTGATATACCTTTATTAGTCCCACAAGGGGAAATTTCATAAGGCTGCAAAAAATGATGTGTTTGCTAAGGTGACCATAAAAATATATATATAAAAAATATTTTTGCAATCTAACATTTGGCACAAATATTTTTTTCTTTACGGAAACATATGTTACATGCATGTGTTGCTTAGCGTGGACAACTCACATGATTCTTGGGAAACAAGTACAAAACTCAAAACGAGACTTTTTTTTAAAATCATTT